GATCAGCGCCTGCCCCTTCGCTCCCCCTCGTGAGGAAGTTGTAGGCCGTGATGTGGTCTCCCCTCAGTCTCCTCCAGGCTGAACAAACCAAGGGACTTCAGACTCTCCTCATACGTCTATCCCCTCTAGACCCTTCACCATCTTTGTTGCCCTCCTTTGGATGCTCTCCAATAGTTTTATGTCCTTTTTGTACTGTGGCACCCAAAACTGCACGCAGTACTCAAGGTGAGGCCGCACCAGCGCAGTGTAGAGTGGGACGATCCCTTCCCTGGGCCGGCTAGCAATGCCGTGCGTGATGCACCCCAGGGTACGGTTGGCCTTCCTGGCAGCCTGGGCACACTCTTGACTCATGTTCAACTTGCCGTCAACATGTGCCCCAAGTGCCTTTCAGCACGGCTGGTCTCCAGCGTCTCATCACCCAGTCTGTGTGTATAGCCAGGGTTGCCCCTTCCCTGGTGCAGAATCCGGTTCTGTCCAGAAGACAGATTAGAGAATTATGTAGGCTTTGCCACAGCATCCCATTTGGAAGTGGGACTCTGCTCACACTGTGTGACAAAAGCCATTCATTCCTAATTGTTGGTTGTATTATCTTTCTCCAAATAAGTTCCCAGAATCGTGAGTGAATTGTCAGTAACAAGCAGTATGTGCGTGTAACTTCAACAGACCGTATGCCTCTGTTACCATCTTGAAGAAGGAATTAATCTGATACTTAATGGAAACTGTGTCATCGCAATGCATTTTCACTTCTAATCCCTGGCATTTCATACCAAATGAACTCCCAAAATTGAGTTTCCATATTCCTCTCAGCTCAGTTGGTGAGAACATTCTGGTTGCTGTGAGTGTGATTTGCTTTGGTTTTGCAGAGCTGGGAGTTTGGAATCCCGCTGTGCAGAGAGCTGGCCATACAGTACGAAAGTCTCTATGATTATCAGAGCCTCAGCTGGATTCGGGTAAGTAGCAGCAGTTCCTCTCCGTGTAGCCTCTCGTGTCATTCCCCAGGGAATTTTGCTCTCCTGTCAGAACATCCTGAATTTAAAAAATAAACATATTCCCTGTATAGCTCCACTGACTCCTTGGCCATTGATTCATTTCAATAACCTGGTAGGTCCACTGAAGTAATTCCTATGTCTGCTAGCAGTAAACTAGGAGCTGGGCTTGCCTATTGCAATTGCATATTTATATATATATTTGCATAAAATATTTTTGCTTTTTTAAAAAAATTATATATTGTATACTGATATTTGTTTTTAATTCCAAAAATATCAAGGACAGCTTGTGCCTCAGGTGACATAAGAGGAACGAGAGAGAAAGAATGGAGAAGGCAAATGTTTATGGCATTCTTGTCAATTTACAAGAATCTGATCCTCCAGTAAAACCAAACACATGATTAAGTCAGGGCATGTTTGCAGAATCATGCTTTAATCAGAAAAAGTCAAAGTTCTGCTTGTTATTTAAAAGCTCTATGAGTGTGGAAATAGTTCATCTGCTTTTATCCCCTGGGATAGCATGCATATGTCCAAATTTACGATTTATGATACGTGAATATATTATTACACACAGTGGTTTAAATTCTCTCTAGAAGTCAAATTTATTCTCATCTGAAGATACCCATCTAACTAGGTCTCATGAACTGCACTTCTGAAGAACCTATTTTCTTCACATTGGCCCTAAAGAGAGTACAGGTGCCATCTTGGTTGTGCACTTGTTTATTGCAGACATCTAAAATAGGGCACTGTGAATATTTATCCCAGTGTACAGGAAATACTGTAACAGTACAGTGATCATGAATGGTTAGCAAACAAACCTATTAACAAGCCTTACTCAAGTTGTGAATCAAGGCTTTCTTTCCTCACCATCAGTAAATTAGCTATTCTTGCTGCCTCTTTATTATTCAGATTTAATCAACAGGCAGGTGAAGAGCATCTTTGCTGATCATGTAACAAATTCACCTCATCCTTTCAGTCCCCTGTGTGAGATCTGTTTACTGTTCAAGTTCCCTAAATCTGTGGTGACCTGAACTGACTTGAATTACTCCCCACTCTAAAGAGTTTTTTCTCTGTGCCATTCACATTATTCAACACATTGCTTTATTCTTCCTGAAAGGACTTTGGGACCTTCTCTGTTTTCGAAAAGGAGTTAATATGGATTGGAACTGAAAACAAAACCTTGATGCAATATTCTAAGTCAAAGCTGCTGTTAGGGTTCCCTGCGGTGGAAGCAATAATGTCAAACGGATTCTTCTCTTTAAAAAGCTATCTTCTTGCTATAGTGATATTCCTGTGAGCCTTTCCACTGAGATTCAGTTTTGCAAGAGGTCCTGAAATCCCATTCTTGATACAAGCGCTAGCCCAATGCCACAAAACTAGTAATTGGAACTAGAGAAAAGCCCTTTTACTTTTTCCAAACCAATTTTTTTCTTTCATGTTAAACTTACTGGTGCACAGAGCTGTACAAGATTTAATTTTGTTTCATCCTTTTTCATGCCCCTCAATTAAGGCAAAACCAACTGAATTGATAGAATTTTCTGGGCAGTAGTATAGATTTTGAGCTGTAGGAGAGAATAGGACACCGTGAGCCAGGCAGGCAACACAGATCTTAATCTCAGCTTTGCCATTAATTCTGCAATGCAAATAAAGTTACATGCAAGACCTGTTTAATTTAAAATGAGATATAACAGAAAAGTTGTCATCTCCAAAAATGTAAAATGAGTATGATGATACCATAGTCTGTTCCACCATGTAGACTGTTTAATTAATAATTTTTATCTTTAAGAGAGTTTCAGTCCTTTCATAAAAGTTGTGGGGGCAAGAGAGTAATGTCACATTTTAATGTGTCTTGAAATTCTAATGTTTTAAGTGCAGCTTTAAGGGTCTGACAGCAGCTATGTTTTTCCTCCACAGAAAATGGAAGCTACCTATTACGATAATATCATGGAACAGCAGCGCTTAGAACCTGAGTTTTTCAGAGTTGGTTTTTATGGTCGGAAATTCCCATTTTTCTTGCGGGTAAGCCAGACTTATACAAGATATGACGAAGTGACCAGGCTCAGAGTAGCAGTTAAGACTTTGTATTTTTGTTGTGGAGATATGATGACTACCATTCAGCTTATTTTTTTTACGCCTGCACAAGTAGAAACAGCTTTCTGACTGAACTGAAGGATGTGGTCCATTGGGAATGCTCTTAGGAAAATCAGAAATTTGACTCATGCCTATGTGTATTTTTGATGATCTGCACATGCAGCACAAATTGCCTCTATATTAAGCAAAATGCTGTATTGCAGCAATGTGGGTCATTACTCAACTAATTTTCATCATCTCAAATTACACACTTTAAAAAGTCTCACATGACAGAATGATGCTAATACCAGACTGACGACTCCCTTACGCTATCTACAAGTGAAAATTTCCTCTCTCTCCAACAAAAAGCCTAGCAGCTTCTCTGGACACGTCCTCAGGTTGAGCTTATTGTCTCCTGGTCTATACAGGATCAGCTGGGTGTGCAATCCATTTAAAAAGTGAAATTATCTTCTTTTCCTAATAAAGAATCAAACTTAAAATGGGTATTTGTTCATACAATGTCTTGTTGCTAGTTCAGAGCAAGGAAGGAATATAATCTGACAACTGCTGTAAGAACTGTCTGAAAATTGATGATAGATGCCATCTAGCTTGACAGGACAAGCTAATTTGAAGCATGCTTTCAAGGCCTTAGAGGTGCATGTTTTGTGTTCTCTTTAAGGAATGGTTTGACAAGAGATGGCACCGCTCTTGAGTTACACAGTAAGAAGCCACAAAAAGCCAAACTGTGTACCAGTTTTTCCCGTAGGGTACCCATTTTGAAAATTGCACTCTTAAGTCTCTCTCTGATTACAAAGGGGTTTTTTGTTTGTTTTTTAACTAGGATTTAAATGTTGGTGTTTAATTACAGTCTTTTAATGGAAGTGTGGTGGGGAGGGGGAAAGTAAAGGCAAGTTGGAATTAATCAAGGTGAAAATGCCAGTGGATAAAGTGGTAGCTTCATGTTATTCAGAGGTGAAGTTGAACAGTGCCATAATGCAGCAGCCTGAATTGGTGTGTAGAACACACGTGCAAAGGAATCTGAGGAAATGACAAGTGTTGCAGTATGAAGCAGTAGCTGCCCTTTCGTGAAGATCTCCAGAGAAAACTGACAATTTCTTGGTTTTATATCTAACAACAGATGTTTCAGAAAACGAGTGACAACAAAAACATTATGGCACATAAGACTTCCTACATTTGATGTAGTATCAGTGAATCTAGCTTATCTTACTGTATTATGGATCCTACCGTTTTATCTTGGATCCTGCATGGCCTATGTCTTTAACACTGCACAAGTTTTCAGTGCACAGCACTTACTCTTTGCGAAACGGTGTAACTATATGGATACTTGGCTGGAGACATTAACAGCGAACATGAGCTTACATAATTATAATCCTTGTTAATTCTGCAATTATATTTGGTAGCAGTACTTCTGATAGCAGATTACTAATGTAGCAATCTCATTAAAAGTCATCCTCCTCCTTTCTCTCTCTAATGATCCATACAGCATACACATTGCAAAGCACAGACTAAGCCCATTAGCAATCACATCAGCATGGATCACCCTGTAAAGAGATTGGAAGCAGCTATTCTAGAGAAGAAAAAGATTTACATGGATTTAAAATTTTCAAATGGATATGGGAGTGATTTAAAGTGATCAAATAACTCCATGCCCTTTTCTCATTTTTCTATTGCTGTATAGCTTAAGAAAGGAAATAACCACTTCTTTCTGCATCTTTGATTTTGAAGACCCTTTGTCTAGAAAAGTTATTGCTCATGCTTCTATGAATTCTGCATCTATTTCTAGCGTTCCTACATAAGTAAATTAAAACTGTCCATGTCTTCTACCTACCAGAAGTTCAAGTAAGGCCTGACAAGCTGTGTTCTGAGATCTTGTGTTGGCATCTGTCTGAAGAGTCTATTAAATTTAGCTTTGAGGTGTTTTCAGGGCATTATTTTTAGAATCACAATAACTTTATTTATAGGCTTACAGTTTTCTGGATTGCTGCAATCAAAAGCTAAAATAGACAATGCAGTAAGTGCCATGAAGAGATTCACCTTCAAACATGGACTCACTCCAAATTTAATAATAGCTGCAAAGTTTGGGCATTACAGACTGAACTGTCAAGATTCATCATGAGGTTTTTCTCCCAGTTCATTGGTTGCTGTGACTGATGCATACAAAGTGACAGATGTCACAGCTGGAACATGAGATCTGTTCCATAAAGTTGAAATGCAAAGCCAAAGATAACTGTACTCCTTGGCTGTCTTTTATGATTGGGTTTTGCTGCTTTCTCTTTGATTTTGCTACAAGATTAAGAACTGCTCAGCCAGAACCCTTTTCTAGAGCAATTAGCTAAATGTCAACACATATACTGCAGCTTCTAAATGCAAGAAATAGGCTGGGATTCTTTCTTTATGAGGGTGAAAAATCTCCCTGTACTTCCATTTATTGTTATGTGTGTAAGAGTTAAAACTACCAGAATTAGAGAATTTGCCTGCTTTGATTGGTCTCACATCAGGAGACATTAACACCAATCAAAATTGTGTTTTGTGGTAATACAGTTAAGACGCTGGAAAACAATCTTTATGATACTGAGGACTTTAGAAATCCTGTATCTTGCTGGTCAGAGTTTGAGATGGCTCAGAAAGCATGTAGGAACTCTTCACAAGTGATTTAGTGCCTCAAGAGGCATATCTAAATGCAAGCTTTCCATTACTGGCAGAAACAAAATTTTGTTCATCAAGAAGGAAGTGCTTTTAGAGCTGAAAGGGAATTTGCGAGGTGGCCACTGAGAATTCTTGGTAAGGCTTTTCCATATTACTCCACTACAGATGGGAGTTCCTGAGGATATATTGTTCAACATGATCAGATGTGGATTGTATGGCCATGACAATACAACAATGATTAAACAATGACTTTTGTGAACAGTTTGTTACAACTTCTCTCTAAGGATAACTGATAAATTGATAAACATTTATCTCCCTCGGTTCTATGAAATCCTCAGGACTTTTATCCATCTAAATTGTATCTGACAGCAGCTTTCCCAGTGAAGAACAGCTAAGCTGGAGACTTAGTCTTAAGTTTTGGTTGGTATATTTCAGTATAGTCCAATTAAAAAATAGTCCCTTTTCAGTTGTCGAAAAGCAAGTAAGAAAAGACAATATGACTGAATGCTAGATCAGAGGCATCTTTCTGTTGAGAGAGCAGAGGAATACTCCATCACTTCTTGATGAAATACCTTGTACAGAAAAAGGAAGGAATAAAATACGAGCTGTGTTAAATGCACATTTTACTCTCACGTTAGCATGTTAACGTTGTCATTTATCTTTGTTTTTGAAGCAGTAAAATTTAAAGTGAGATAAAAGCCTATAGAATTTAACTTTTAAGGAGACTGATTTATGCTTGTCCTTCTTGCAGAACAAAGAATATGTATGTCGGGGCCACGACTATGAGAGGCTAGAAGCCTTCCAGCAGAGGATGCTGAGTGAGTTCCCACAAGCCATTGCAATGCAGCATCCAAACCACCCAGATGACTCTATATTGCAGTGTGATGCCCAGTGTATCCTTCAGTGAAAGGGCAAACTATGGTTAGAACAACTGTGGTAGAGCACAGAGAAAGGCATTGAAAAGGTCATCAGCTTGGATACTTCAGTTCCTAAGTGTCTTTGGTGGAGCTGGAAATGGACAAAACATACACCTGTCTACAGCAGACATTAAGTGGTTCATTGCACTATGTATTGTTGGAGAGAATTGTCACTTTTTATTCAGGGAGTAATGCAGGTCATCTCCGATGTGTAAGGGAAATACCTGTCTTTGGTCACATCTGCTTGGTCACATCCATGTTTTAATCTTTACCAACAGCTTTGCCATAATTCATGTTTTGTTTATGATAAAATACATTAAATAGAATACATTAACAGTATTCCCGATACTTTCTCTTGGATGACATTTTGTTGGGAAAAGATATTACTTCCAAAGTGTTAATTTTCCATTGTGTTTATTTTTCACATAACATGGGGGATTTTTTTGCAGTCTCCCTTTCTTTTAAATTTCTGAACTCTTTCATACCTAAGGCTTTAAATCTCATTCTTCTCATTGGTAATCTGTGCTGTGGTTTGATGCAACCAGTATAATGCTATGTACATTTAAGGACTGAATCACATAACATTTAGTGGGTGTGCAGAGACTATTGGAGATTTCAGTCATGAGAACACCACTGTTTGGCTTGTGTGACAACAGTAAGGGTATTGTGCAAGACTTTAACCATATGGACATTGTCAGCAAGTGAAATCTCCTGAAATTGGTTGGTGTTTCCCATTTGTCCTTCTAACACATGCTTTTCACTCTTCTCCGCTATATAGCACTGATACCTTCATAGACAGTGGGGTTGTTTATATGTGTATTTTGGTTGGTTTGTCTATGCTTGCAGAGATCTTGTCTGCAACACTGAGGTTAAACCAGTTTAATTAAATTGGACTGTAAATTGATGAAATTAGGATAACTTTGGTTTGTAGACAAAGCTGAAGTATCGAAGGTGAAATTTATCAAAGGTAAATATTAGATATTTAGGTACCTAAATATATCAAGATCTACAAAAGCTCCTGCACAAATGAGGCACCTATCTCTAATTAAAAATAACAGGAACTGGGTATTTTGCCTGCTGTAGGTATTTTGGATGTCTTAATACATACTCTCTGCATCCTCAGGTATCTTCCTCTTCAGTTAATCTGGCTGTGAGGTACTATAACTCTGTAGACTCCGCTAGTAGCTCCAGTCTAGTGTTCTGTTGTTTCACTTGCAAAAGAGTGTTGGAAAACAAAGAGGAATGTGACTTTGAGTTCACCATCCTGTTTATTTCCACAGTAGAGATAGCCTTCCTGTTTGATGTCCCGTGGCTTTCTTTGACTACATAATTTACAGATTTACAGATCTATGCAGTGACTCCCATCCCAGACAATATAGATGTGCTACAAATGGACCGTGTCCCTGATCGCATAAAGAGCTTTTACCGAGTCAACAACATCCGGAAATTCCGCTATGACAGGCCTTTCCACAAAGGCCCAAAGGACAAGGAGAATGAATTTAAGGTAGAAGTCATGAATAAGCAGAGTTTGTGTTAAATCTCTTCAAGGCAAATACTGTCTTATTATTTTATGCTGATACAGCCTTTCAAGTAATCCTGATTTGATGGCCAAATATACTACAGTAACTTGAATAACAAGTAGCTGTTGAGTCCGGTGGTTACATGCCTGACCTCATAAAAGCATTGTTCAGTTTAAAGGTGAGTTATTTGAGTGCCAGAAGTGATGCCTTTTGAAGCAAGGATGTTTGGGGTTTTTTTCCCCTCTGGAATTTTTTTCTTACTGCCATATATATCCACAATGTTGTCTGGGTTCCCATGAGAGAATTGGTGGTCAACCTTTAAAAATTAATAGAAATGTTGACTGTGTTGCTGTAGAGCATACTGAATGCTGGTTTTGTTGTTCAAGTGACTTTCTGCAAAGTAAGTAAATGCTCAGGAAGTCAATATGTTCTTTTCTGAACTTTACCCCTGTAACACCTGTAGTAAGAATACAGATGATGTGATTGTGACTCACTGTGTACCTCACATCCTCAATTACTCTTTGCAGAGCTTGTGGATTGAACGTACCACTCTGACCTTGACTCACAGTTTGCCTGGGATCTCTCGTTGGTTTGAAGTGGAGAGAAGAGAACTGGTAAGATTCATAGTTCCTGTAATTGGCCTTTGAAATGATGAGTTACTGAGGACATGTGCTAGGCAACTTAAAATTCCTTTGGCTGAAATCTTGCAGTTTCAAATTATGAAGTTTACCAATTAGTAAGTATATCTTTTTTCCACCACTTAGTCTAAATAATTACTGAATATAAACAGGGGAATTATGTGAGGGAACATGGTAGTATAATGGAGACAATGCCAAAAACATGGAATAATTGCATTGTTGCTATGTCTTCAGTATACAGAAAGAAGTTCTCACAACTGAGTGACCTGAAACACAGCATTGCTAACAGTAAAGTTTGTTATTAGAGCTAATTTTCTACAAAGCAGGAAAAACTAAGGCGATCACTGAACAATTCTAGAGTATCATTTCATTACAAGGAAGATAATAAATCTCAATGAAGCATCCATGGAATTAAAGTATATTTTATTGCCTTTGAGGTTGAAGTTAGTCCTTTGGAAAATGCCATTCAAGTGGTTGAGAACAAAAACCAGGAGCTGAGAACACTGATAAGCCAGTACCAGCATAAACAAATGCATGGTAACATTAATCTTCTCAGCATGTGCCTGAATGGAGTGATTGATGCAGCTGTTAATGGGGGAATTGCACGATACCAGGAGGTAAGCCAGGCTCTGCTTCTGAATTTAGTATCATCTCAATTTTATTTGCATTTCTGTTTCAAAGAGTACGACATAATAAGATAAGACATTCTCATGTACATTATCTGAGGTTAAAAACCCTAGTTGGTTATTCTGCATCAGTGCTTGCATAGCCACACATCAACAGGAGGATCCAAAGGTGGAGTTGGGATATCACACTGAAGTAGGTAAAGTTCATAGTGGGATTTCTCAAGAATGAAACTCGGCTTATGCAGAAATCCTGACTTGGCAGGTAAAAGAGTGAAGCAGATTTTTTTTTTTTTTTTCATATTGCTTACATTATAAATCCATTTTGCAATAGAGGCAGTGGGCTCAGAGTAATTGAGACTAATTGGGCCTATAATCAGGAAAAGACACTAATTCGTGCTACTCAACCATTATCTTTGCTAGCCTAATTTCAGACTCACTGTAACCCTAAAATGATCGTCTATGCAGTATGTTATCTGGCATAATCTTTGGCAAGCTGCTACTTAGACTTACCTTTTGCAATGCAGAGTTTAGGGTGAAATAGTGAAAAATGGCTGAGTGGCCCAGGGGTGTGGGACATGTCTTCCTTACAGAGCCGTGAAAAGAACGTCTTCATGCTTTACATTAGTTACCATGTTACTGACTTAATTCCTTTACCTTTAGGCAGTTATGTGAAGGAAACTATATGAAATTCAAATAACTGGATGATGCAAGGCTTAGTGGTATTGCTCATCAGTATCACTGGGGGAAACTTGGTCAGATTCATGATTCCACAGAATCATCAGGGTTGCTGAAGCTGTACTGTAGCTTTACCTGGATCCCAGAGTGCTAAAAGCAATAAAGTTGAGCTGCTGCTGCTATCTTAATATATTTCATTTTCCTAAGATTTCTGGACCTTTTCCTCTCATCATTTGACACCAAGTTACGATGAAATACTTTCCAGTAAGCAGAAGGCTTTTTTTTTTTTTCCCCCCCTTTCTTTCTACAGGCCTTTTTTGATAAAGATTATATTGCAAAGCACCCTGGAGATGCCGAGAAGATCACACAGCTCAAGGAACTCATGCAGGAACAGGTACTGTTTTTCAGATGCAAAAGAACATTGCTACAGTGTCTGGATTCATCAGCAGTCAGTCTAAACATACCAGATCCAACTGATTCATTCAGAAACAAAGAATTTTGGTAGAGGAGATTTAAAGTACATTTAAACAAAAAAGAGGGGGGTGAAGGCCAAGGAGTTTATGCACAAGCCATTCACCTTATGGGATGAGGTGAAGCTCAGCTAAAAGTACATTAATTTTGTTGTCTCCATTTATTATCCAACAGACATCTTGCCACGTTTCAAGCCTGCCATTCATTTTGGGCATTTTGAATTATGTCTTCCCAGTAAATTTCAAAGATAATCAGAGTCAGGAGAGGCCAGGTCAGGCTTGAGATTAAACTGGCAGAACTACATAGGAAAACTTAATGGCTATTTATATTATCTGCAGTTTTATTTTTCCTTAGTGTCTCCATGAAACATCTTGGTAGATAAAGCTAGCTGGATGCTTTGATGGGAGTGAAATCAGAAAATCGCCTGCCTCTTAACTGAAAGTTTGGCAAGATACATACCCCATTAAACAATGTGTCCAAGTCTGAATAGAGCTACTAGGCCTGTTTCTTCAACAAATCACTTAACTGCATTTCAGATTTCCCATCTGTAAAATAAAGATAATGCTTATCTCCCTTCAGTCCTCAAAAGGACGTTTGAAGATTAATTGTTATGTTATTGTTATGTACAGACTTTGGATCATGTAGGGAATTATATACATCTTAAGCCTGTTATCGTTAATATTTTCATCTGAGAGCTTATATAATCTCCTTCAATCACTAATATTGTATGTTTGACATTTGAAAAAGTGACCTTTAAAAATAAATAATGAGCAACAGAAAGAGTGACTATGCAATGCCACACTGCCACTGTTCAACTCAATTATTAGAACCTCCTTTTAGAAATCTCTGTTGGCAACTTTAACCCCTTCTCTGAGACTGGGTGGAAGGAATTTTCTTTGCCACAATGAATTATCTGTGTGAGTACATAATGTTGTTCAGTCGGGAGAGAGAATCAATCTGGTAATTTTTTACAGTTATCTCTTAACACAGGTAATCCAACATGACGCAAATGTACTTGTCTCACACTTAAAGTACTTGTTGAAGTAATATGAACTTGCCAGGTCTCTTAAGCTTGCTTAATTATCAGCAGTCTTGTGAATGAACAGTGGCATATTTTACAACACTTTCTTGCACACAGACAGAACTGCGGGATAGGCTTCTATTCCATCTCTTAGACATGATTTATGTGAGTTTGTGATGTTATGTTCTCTTTTTAACAGGTACATGTCTTAGGAGTGGGTCTGGCAGTCCACGAGAAATTTGTACACCCAGAAATGCGTCCCCTACATAAGAAACTGATAGACCAGTTCCAGATGATGCGATCCAGTCTGTACCATGTAAGCTGATAGTAATTTTTCCCATTTTGAATCATTCAGAGTTATGATTAAACTTCTATCAGTTGCAGTAAGGTTCACAAAAGACCTGGGCTGATACAGCACTGATTGCACCTCCTGGATTGCCAAGCTATCAAAAGGATTCTTGATTTTTGTGCAAGGAAGTCTGTTAACTAAGCCTTTATTTTACATTAGAATTTTTAATATTTGTACAGTCTTTGTTGTATCACAAAACAATTGTCAAGCTTAGTTTTCAGTTACTGTCTTACATAGTAGAAAATGTTGTAAAACAAAGGAACAAAGATTAACTAACAGTAAGTGTTAGGCATTGAGGTCTTTGAAAGAACTGCTGTAGTTTGGAGTAGCATGACATGGATCAGGCCCTCCAGAAGTGTTTTTATATACAGTGACAAAACTCCTGTTGGTTAGTTTAGGCAACATCATCCTCTGGTGATCAGGACATGCACTGTTATGGGTCTGTAGTTCCTGTATAGTCAATGGAACTGCCTCCAGAGCATGGTTCACACCACCTGTTCTATACCAGAAGTACAAATACCATCCTCTAGGGATGATACCTTTCCTTCTATGTGCGCTCTGCTGTACATTAGTAGTCCGTGACAATTATACTTGAGACATCTTTGTTAGGCAGGTCTCGGAAATTTGCAGTGCATTCTCCTCTTCCTGGTATAGTGAAATCTTGATGCGTACCTAGACGCTATCTTGAACATTATGACAACCAAACCTAAAGGGTATCTTCCTATAATGTAAAAGAATTATTTGAAATATGTGTGCTAGCAGTGAGAAGAAAACTTGTCCTTTTCCATGACCAACTTAGCTTCTTTCATTCTTTCATACAAGAAGTACGTTTCCTTTGCAGGAGTTACCTGGTTTGGATAAGCTGAGTCCGGCCTGTTCTGGCACCAGCACACCACGCAGCAATGTTCTGGTTTCGCATGGACCTATGAGCCCAGAGAGCATAAAGTTGGTGCACCGACACAGGTACCCTGTTTTTTCCTACTGAAATATCTAGGATCTCTGCAGACCACTGCATTAAGATTCACGGATCTAAGAAGTGGTTAACAGTACCGCAGGAGGAGCAGAATGAGTTTTGTCAAACTTGTCAAAATTGTATTGCTTGTTTTAGAATCTAACTCAGTTTGTACCCATTTTTAAGGATCAAAAAATGTTCACATCATTGTTTTTTATAATTCTGATCAAATCAGAACCCAAATGTAAGAAAGGCTGCCAAGGCGTTTTGATCAGAATACCAAAAAATGGCTCAGACTTCACAGAAACATCTGAAAATACGGATGCTTATTCAAACTGAATACCCATCAATAAAAATTGAGCTAATGATTGAGGATAAAAATTGGGATTTTCAGGGCAAAACAGTGTTTTTGCATGCAGCCAGAATTGCTTATGTGAAAATCTACATATCCATACCAGTATGAAAAACAGTGACAGGAATGTCACTGAAGTTATGAAATTGTAATCGTTCTTCCATGTTTATTGTTCTTGGTGGGTCCACATAGCTTAGCTGTTTTTAAAGCCTGGCATGAAGAGCTGTGGAAACTTGGTCTTTAGTGCATGAATCCAGGATCGTGACTTTCTTTTTACTATTAAAATTGAGTAGGTCTTATACTACTTCAGTGGCTTGGCAGCTGATTATTAACGTCTGGGTGATAATTTTTTTCCCTCAAAATTCCCCACTTTTTTAGTTCTTAGGGCAAACTAGGGAGGTTCTATAGCGTACAAAACATGTATTTGTGTATGTGATTGAGTGACAAAGAAAAAATTAATTTTATGAGATCAGGGTGCAACCTGCCCACTAGTTGGGCTGTATTAATTTACTATAAAGTTGCATTCAACTGTAATGCTGAGGTCCAACAGATGCAATAAGGAAAACTGTGTTTTGACCTGTGTGTCTCGTGCTTGGCTTCTTTTGGAATTTTTTTTTTTTTAAACTGCTCCTACTCATCATACTTCAGCATTAAAAATGAGAGTGGTTTCGGAATGTTCTGTTATAAATAAAGCAAATATGCACCCAGCATCGTGACATAATGTTAACGTGGCTTTGGATTCTGAAATTCTACATACTACGTTGTCTTACATGTAACCTCACTGTGACTTCTTTCATATTTACTCACATTTATGGATTTGTTTAAGCTTATTCGGCCTGGTTTTCGAAAAGTGTTTGACATGCAGAGGTGACCTAAAGCAGTAGATAACTGTAGGTACTTATAGCTCAGAAAAAAAAAATCAGGCACCACAAATTAAAACACAGGTTCAAAAAATAATGTTGCCTTTGTTCTGTCTCTTTTTATTCCAGCCCACTGAACTTGCTTGGTTCAGTCCGACACTCATCATCCTCTCTGTCGTCCCACACCTCCAGTGAAACAGGAAACCTGGTTATCCTAACAGACAGTTCTGTGGGGGAGACTGCCGAGGATATGTACCACATGCAGGTACAGCCCCAGCACAGCCAGGAGCAGTTGTCAGAAACAGCACTGATCATGCTCTGGAGGGTGATGCTTAGGAGGAGTACACTTTACCTACACACACACTTGGATCTGTCCTGTGGTATTTTTCTCAAAGAACTGAACAGGTAGAATCTAACACTGTTCAAGAAAGATGACAGAGTAATTCACCTGGGTTTACTTTGGGAAGAAATCTGTATTTGTACAGTGAAAGTTGCTACTGTGGTCCGAGATCATACTGTTCCTTTCATAAAGTAAGATTTTAGTGGGCATGTTACTTATCTGACCTGTTCAACAAATGCAGCTAGTATTGCTCTTGGTTTGTGGGAGGGTGAAATGAGTCCCACAGTCCTGAGTGCAGATTAATAGTGGCCTGCACTGAAGCTCTTTCCTAGACAGAGGCTGCACTGGGTGATCTGAGACAGGTAAATATCTAATGCGCTGATCCACTCGGTTCTCTCTTGATGATTTCTGATCCTCCTGCAGCTTGTTTACCCTAACTCCAGGTACCAAGGCTCAGTCACCAACGTCTCTGTTTTATCCTCGTCCCAGGCTAGCCCTTCCACCTCAAGCCTGAGCTCTACTCACTCGGCACCATCCCAGATGATTAACTCTGCCCCTTCCAGTGCTCGAGGTAAGAATGGATGGACCCAAATGAAGGGTTAACTGGACCTGCAGTGTCCCCTAAACCTGGCAACGTTGTTGACTACTTGGTGAAAGACCACCTACGCTGAAATATACCACTGTTTCTCTTTTGGAGCTGTAAATGCCTCTTCAAAAATTGTTTCTTAAAAAATGTGTTTCATTCTCCAGAAATGGATTTAATATTTTTTTTCAGCAGTATTTGGAATGTATTTCTAATACATGCTGGTTTCAGGCAGTTGAATTTCATAAGGATTTCCATTGTTCCGCCACAAAATTGTGGCAGGCAATCTAGAGGAAAACAAGAATAGTCTTTGGTAGAGTAGTTAAAAGAGAGAGATCATGAAGACAAAGGCGAAAAAATCATTTTACACATTTAATGAAATTATGGCACAAAAAAGAACTTGAGGCAGTTTAGCAGAAATGTGTGTACACAAAAGCAGATATATACAATGAGTGTTGAAGGATATGAATTTTAAGTACTGTGGTTAAAGGGCTTCCCTGCTGGGAAATTCTTGAAGAAAGGAAAAATGTAAAAACAGACTCTAGGGGTACTCATATTGCCTTTGCTGTTACAGTAGCTGGTCTTGATATTGCTAATCATTTTCTTCCCAAGCCTCAGAACTGAAGCAAAGCCACTCCGTGCAATCTCCTGAATTTGCTAATTTCTATTCAAGTGGGTTTCTTTCCTCTCATTTTGGATTCTCAGTTGCAGGTTCACAAATTTCTACACCTCTTTTCACAGGCGTCTGAAGAAGGTATCCAGGATATAGTCAGAGATAGAGGCCGACATTTAAATCTTACCCCTTGTTCCCATACAGGGAACTGTATGTCTCCTTAGGGGCAGAGAATACAGAGAAGGGGCCTTTCTCTCTGGCCACCTTGGGGCTTTTTTGCTCAATCTTGCAGTAAAATCTTAATTGACTGACTGTTGTTATGACACAGATGCATCAAAGTGATTTAACTGAAGAATCAGATGTCATAGGAAGGTGAGAAGTGGACATCTTCAGATAAAGGCAAATAGCTTCACTAATTACCAAGGACTGGAAGGAAAATAATGACAATTCAAATAGTAAAGTAACCAGATGTTAACTGGCATAACAGGAGAGATGGAACTGAGTAGAGGGCTACCAGGTCAGGAAGATGTCCTTAAATGGATGTGCTTCAGCTGGCATGTGAGGCCTGAATCTTCTGGGGGATCTGAGGGGTTTTGGTGTTTCTAGTGTTTCAGTCTATTTTCCACTTTGAAAGTCCAGTGCTCACAGTGACAGGCTGTGCCAGTCTTTCTGAGCTTGATGACTTCATAGCATCACCAGCTTCCCTCTTTACTGTATTCTTTGCTGTTGCTTAGAAACCAAAGTGATGAATGCTACAAAGGGTATGGTGCTGATGGATGAGCCAACAGCACCTCCCAGAGATGAGAACTAGACAGTGTAAATGACCACAAATGAGGAAACAATAAGAAAGTAACGGTTTTGGAAAATACTTCAATATATATCTATTTTATTCTTCACTCTTACTAACATGTTTTGATGGCGTATGATACAACATTTCTTCTCTGCTAGTTTTGTTCACTTTTAAGTTAGGTGAGCACAGCATTCAGACATTACCCACGGATTATGGGATTTCACTTCTAGTAAAGTTCCAAGTGCTCTCTGTGGTTCACAGTGTGCAAGTCACTGTTCTGGTTATTACGACACCGCTGTCTGGAATGGAGTTGTTCATAATGAGACAAAGCACTTACGCTTAAGTTCCACTGTGGTAATACAGCTTTGTTTTTCTCCTTGGTGATTTTTCCTTTTGCTTTGTTTTTTAATTGGGTGAATTTGATGCTTGTGAAATTGAGAAACCAGTATCACTGGCTGGAGCAAGGTACTTCACAAACATTACATGCGCAGCTCTGCCAATGCACCTCTATCTTTTTTTTTCTTTTTTTTTTTGGTATTTATTTATATTCTTTTTAATTTAGTGCTGGTGAAAGGTGCTGGATTGACAACACTGGAGGCTGAAGCCCTCTATTTATCCACAGAACAGATACAGCATGGGCGGCAGCCGTGCAAGCTTCCCCACGCTGCCCCCACCAATGTGCCTCATCTCTGTCCTGGAGGGACCACCTCTAGAGGTGAGAGGATAGTTCAGTCACCATGACCCATCCAATCCTTGGCCTTTCTGCTGAGACTGCCAACAAAGCTACGATAGTCATGATGCTACAGTTAACCACTTTTCAAATGGGAAGTATATGAAGGCCAACAATTCACTTTGTACAGGCCACTTAAATTTATCAACTTAGCAGCTTTGTCACCTGTAGCTTTAACCTGAGTACGGTTATCTAGGATTTCTAGGGTTTTGTCAGATGTTTAAGTGGTTCTCTCATTGATTCAAACATTAATGTAGAGGTAAAAAACTGCTGTCCCATTATCCAGATATTTATAGCACCTTCTCCATTTAACTGCTGAGTCCTTTCTGGAGCTCAGCTACTCGCACTGTTCTGAGGAGATGGGTATCTTTATAATATAGATTAGTTCCATTAGTGACCAAAGGAAGCCATGGCCATTTGTATTAAGAATCCCACAGGAATTTAAATCTTATTTCCAATTCTTCACTTCCAAAAAATGACCCTTTCATTGACATTTAAAACAGCAACACAAGCGAATTATTTGGCTTGTCCAAAGGAAATAATAAAACCACTAATCCAACATTTTGTTTAAAAGATAGTCATTAAGACAGTAATTAATTTGATCATATCACTGAACAGCAAATTAAAGCAGCAAACCTTATGCTAATTATAATATGCACAAGTTAGAGCAAAAGTCTTAAATAGAACTGTAATCGGAATACAGTAAGAATTTTCTAATTCTGTTGGTAAAGATAAAGACTAGGTACTCTATTTTTCAGATTAACTGTATGTATCTTTCAGTTTTCACCTGGCTTGGCCCTTGTGTAGCTTCTTCCCTATCAAGAAATCAACAGTGTTGTATGGAGGATCAATAAGAAATTCAGAGTTTGTTTTGCCTTCGTTTGAGGTGACTCATGAGGCACTGCTCTAACCTTACTAGAGTTGAATTATGTAAACTGATGTTCATTAAGCAGAAATTGTAATGCAAAAAGGCCTGGAAAGAGCTAGGAGTGGGTTAGGTTTTTTCAGTAATTTCATTTAAAATATGTATGCGACTCCTCCCATGCACTCTAAAAGCAACTCGCACTTGACACTAAGGCATCCCTACTGCTTCCTCAACACAGCCCCCTTCTTAAGGTGTAGAAAATGAGTGCCAGTGTCTTAGTACTTTGCAAGAACCCATATACTTACATTAAAAACTTCCTTCTTAAACCAAAAAAAGTTGTATTTTGGTGCAGGAGTGAACTGTTTTCACGATCATAATGAAAGTGATGAGTCAGGAGAAAAGATTCATTGAGTTTGGAATTTAAATACATTAATTTTCAGTTTTGTTCCTTAAAACTAGTATTTGTCACAAGTGGATTAACATTTTCATAATTAAAAAAGAAAAACTACCTCTGGCTTCAGCAGAGGTTTTCCTTTCTCATTAATAGTACATACAGTGTACCAAGCTACAAGCTAAAAGAAATAGGCCCTGATACATGCCGCAGCATCTTAAGTGGCCACTGGCTGCTCTGGAAGCTTTTAAAGCTTTTTTTACTTTTTTTTTAATTTTGCCAGTCCCTGAAAAGAGCCATGGTGATTGTGCTCTCTGTCCAAAGAAGCAGGCCTGATTATTATTAAAAGCTTCAGCTATAGCCACTCCTTTTGTGGCCCACAATTCAGAGGTATCAGTACTTAATTTTATTTGCGGACTGGATAGTTGACATAACCTGTTACAATCTTTATAGCTATATAGTTATTTACAAATTTAGGGCACCAAACAGCAGAGCTGTTTCATAAACTAGATTCGGCCACCATACATGTGGGATCTTTCAGGTCATGCAATGCAAGGTCTGTGGAAACTATAATCCCGTATCAACTGATGGCACATAGAGGTAGTTTACATCTTGGATATAAAAGAATAAGGATGACAAGATAAATAAAAGGGAGAAGTTTACAGTGTAGGTTGTGCTGTGATGTAGTTCTGGGCACACCTAAAAGTTCAGCATCCTTACATTTGTCATGCAGAAACAGGACTACCTGTGATGTAAAAGAGACTCAGCATAAAGCGTTAACACTGTGTTTTCGAAGCTGATGTTATATATAAGAGCAAGTAATGTTGTCCAATTATGTTTCTGTTTTATGTCTGGGGAGAAAATGAGTTCGGAACTAGAATGCAGATACTCTGCGGCTGTTCATGTCGGGGTGGGGGCGTAGATTAATCTGGGATCTGCCACCCCTGATGGAATTGTTGCAATTGTAGGACCTTATCCTGCATTCTGCTGGACACATTGTTCCTTCCACTGTGTGCTGAATATCAGTCCCCAAAACTGCATGTTTGCTTTTGCTGGGGTAAAAGCTGCATTAACCAGCACCAATGCCTTTGCTCATATGTTGGAGTGCTGTTCAGGTAATGTGTGTGGTTGTGGAAAGTTTGCAAAAGGGGGCATGTATTCCCCAAAAGCCGGCATGGCTCTGTAATGCGCTGTGTGCTGCCATCTGTTAAGTGCGTGTTTGTGACGCAATGAAATGATCAGTGCAAATTAAAGCTCACTCCAGCAGCTTCAGAACATCAATTCCTGCTTAATATTGTGCATCCCAAGGGATGCGTGTATCAGTAGTGTCAGACTTTAGGAAGTCACTAACAGGAATCATTCTTCTGGCAAGTTTATTGTCAGCTGTTGCATATCAGAGGGCATATTGTTATGTGGCACTTATCTCAAAGGACATGAGTCCCAAATAATTCCATACACCAGGAAGCTGTTTACACCCCAATATCTTAAATGACAACTATACAGATAACTAATAGTTAAGTATATTCCTACTATAGAACTCTAAGCATTGGTAAACATCCTCTTGTCATAAAGCAGCTCAGTATACCAACACACTCAGTAGTAATCACACATTACCCAGCAGCATTATAAGCAAAGTGCCACCCATGTTTAAAGAAAATTCTGTTTATTACTGGGTTTTGTTTTGCTTTAACAAAGCAGCAGCTTACCAAGGTATTGCCAACTAAATGGCAACACCTCAGACTCTCTCTACCAGAACTGAGGAATGAAGTAGCTTCCTGTAGGTTCCTGCTTTAACTGAATAGCGTGTCTCAAGCTTTTATCCCTTTCTTCTACATTCAGTCCTAAAACGCGCAATTTTACGGAATTTCTGTAACCCTACAATACTTTATGAGGCGAGGGAGCCTTAGGCACTGTACAGCACAGCTACAGCTGATTCCACACAGATGCCCACTTTGGTTGGTTGAAGAGGAAGCACTTTGCAACATACAACTAGGGACGCATACATCTTATACACCTTATGTGGTATGTCCTTAATTGTATATAACAAGCCAGTTCTTATTTCATCCTCGTGCTATGCACCTCACCAACAGTTAGCTGCTTAGTGGGCTCAGCACCATGTTTTCTTGAGTCCCGTAAGATCATCCGTCTGAACAAATTGCAAAGGAGGACTAGATCGCTGGGCATGCGGAGACATGGCTGTTGTTTGTCACGTGTACGTGATTATTCTCACTTGTTTACAGGCTCTCCCTCTCTACCAGATAAGTACCGCCACTCTCGGGAGATGATGATGTTGCTGCCAGCCCATCGGGACCGACCTAGCAGCGCCATGTATCCTGCCGCTATCATGGAAAACGGACAGGTAGCAGATCTAATTTCTTTTATGTCAGTTCAACCAGCTGAAACTGTGACTTTATTTTTACTATTTTTCACCACTTCAAAGCTTCTCTTTTTATTTTTTGAAAGTACAACAACATACTTAGGATCACTTTCAGAGACAACGCAGAACTTTTCATATTAATCACTTCCTAGAGCCACTCACTTTTGGTAGTCAAGTGATACAAATTGTAATGACTGTTAAACTTGCAGATATGCAGTGTGAAAATGGACTCTTCTTACTTCCCAGCTTTATCCTATGAGCCCTGGTTTGCTGCAAGTAGTCATGCCATTTTATTTATTCATTTTTCTAGAACTATGGCCATCCTGCAGTCTAGCCTCAAAGTTGATTCTAAATAGCTTTACAGTGATTTCCAGAGGTATCAAAAAAACCACAAGAGGCTGAAATAATATACTGATACAAGGTCTCCAAACAATCTGTGCCCGTATCTACTACATTCTCTGGACGAATTGAGAAATTCAGGGTGTGCCTACATGTAAATGTTTTAATCTGGCCCTTGCATGCACTTTCGAAGGGAATCTCCTGATCATGCCCACTTACCACATTTCAATTCACACCATAGAACTGCCTCAGAGCACGCAAACTCAAGTCTTTCAAATGAAACCAAAGCAAAAGGTAAGCTCCAGAAGGGCACATGATGCATTCAAGCTGATAACTGGATCAAGATCAGGCTAGAGCTAGTTTGAAATAATTCCTCCAGAGAACACAAGCAGCACAAACTGTGGGGCCTCAGCACTGTTACACTCTAGAGATCCACTAGTATTGCACTGCAGTACTCGCTGACGTAGACGCAGCCTAAGGTTCCCGTGACTTTTTTAGTTAACTTTCTTTGTTTAACAGTGGCAGACATAAAGCCGCGCAGGGTTCTGCACCAGCTGTTCTGTAACTCTGTAACTTTTTTTTTTTACTTTTCTCTGCTAACTTTCCTCTCCCTTAGCCTCCAAATTTCCAGCGCGCCTTGATCCAGCAAATGATTGGGCCATGCAAACCTTGCAGTGATCCCAACCTGTCTGTGGCTGAGAAAGGTACTCTTTTTTCCTAATTAGCATGCATGCTTTCTAAAATATTACTCTGGTCATGCTAAAGCAAGTAACGAATGAGCTTCTACATTTCCTGGCAGATTGCATTCTCTCACATTTTTTTAATTAACAGTTTAATTAACTGGGCCTTCTGCCAACCTATAGTCCATTTCAGATCATTCACAGAAGGGTAGAGTTGGACAAACCTCTTTATTTCAGAAAGCTTTCTGAGTTTAGCATTTTATTATTGAAACAAATCCTGCAGCCTCTATCAAGCAAAACTTGCAAAGCAGCAATTGAAAAGTTATCTGAAAGAAGAGTGCAACATTTGGACCATATTTTTAAAGAATGAGATATATATTTCTTTTTTGAATATGCATTTATTGTTCAAAATATTAACATTTCTTGCAATCCCTCTCTGAAGTACTTTTATATTTATTAATCATTAGGAATGTATGCTTTTGAAATCACTGCTTTGAAAAAAAACAAACAGCCAGAGCCCTTGCAGAAAAAACCATGAAAGGAGAGAAAGAATTTGTTTGGTGTAACAGAAAAGGAGGAGTTTGCAAAAGGGGTGCCATGGACAAAGCGATGGGCTCAAAAAATGATCTGCAAGGCAGCATTCTGAAAAAGCAGAAGTGGGAAAAATTCATGAGTCAAAATCTGAAACAAGGAGGCTGCCTTAAGCAAGCAACAGTCATATGTATGGCCAGGAAAAAATGGTATCTGAAAAGATTTTTAAGGCCAGGAAAGACCATCGCAATTCTCTAGTCTGACCTACATGATGCGCTCCATTAGACTTTTATCACTATTTTTGTTTCAGTAGCTGTGCCTGAACTAAATTGTATCTTTTTGGAAAAAAAAAAAAAAAAAAATCTAATTTCTAGTAAATCAGAATACACCACTTTAGCGATGTGATAGCCTTGCAGAGTGGCCCAGCCTGAAACCAAAAGCCAATGTACAGTTCTGAATACATGGCAGAATGATGACTTGTTGACAACAGAGAGTTAAGACTAGGGGGGTGAGCAATTAAGAGCTCCATCTTAGCCATGGTAGTCTGAACTGAAAATATCACAGAGGTGGTGAGATCTTTATACTGGACAGGAGAAAAATCTGGAAGAGGAAGATAGATAAATATTTATTACCTGTCTATAAAAATTCTTAAATTTGTGTTTGTGGGTGATATTACGCAAGAGTATACTATACAGCACAAAAAAAAAGGGAAAGACAGAATCCCCTCCAGAGGCCCAAAGGAGCCATGAAAGACACAGATGATGTTCAGTAATTGCTCTTAGGGGATGGTGTGATGGTAATCCTAGCTCTTTGGCCAGGTTGGTAGCATAAATGCAGTTACAGGTATTTTTTGCAGCCCTTGAACCCTCCTCATTCTCTGTAAGTCAGGATGCCATCTGCCTTGGGTTTTTGTTAACAGTCATGCCCTGTGATTTACCCATCCTCTTTCTTGCCATGTCAGAAGCTCTGCTCAGTAATTCTCATTGACAGCAGGGTGACTGACATCAGTCGCCCAGAGCAGAATGGTTCAAATGCAGCTTCCCTGCTAATTAAACTTGGCCATCAAGCCACTGAACACTGTTCTGGAGAGAGAGAGAGATGGGCTAGGACAGAGCAGTAGGAACTCCCTGGGTAGGTTCCTCCCTGAAGCAGTTTGGATAAAACACTGGGTTTAACAGGCAGCAGCCATTCTCAAAAATCATCTGACCTCAGGATGATTTCCAGCACTCATAAAGGCTGTGAATGAGGGAACACTGAGAAAGTATAAATGGATTATGCACTGGAATACCATGTTCTATTCTTCACATTCTTCTTCTGCATCTAGTTGTTTAAAAAACAAAACACAACAATTCTTTTACAGGCCAACCAAATCAGGTTTTATTCTGTCCTTTTCACTTGATGCTGGTGTATTGTAGGAGAGACTAGCGTGGCTGGCATTGTTATGCATCTTGTCCCTCTTTTGACCTTTTGACACCAATTGCAGTACTGCAACTTAGAGCATTCTGGTTTGTGTATAGCATGACCAGGGGTGCTGAGAAAATTAATCTGAAGCCACATTACCTGTGTTGAGATGTATCCCTTGGTTTGAACTTGTTCTCTGTCAAGATTCTTTGTATCTTCTTTGTATGCCTTTCTCAGTTTGAGAGCATCTCTTTAAAAACAACATTTACTTTTATATTTTTATAGGTTTTGTTCCATCTTACAAAGCTGTCACTTTGTGAAGTTGGTTTTTTTTTTTCACTTTAGGGAATTTTAGGTCTTGGAGAGCCTGTGTTCATGATAACTCATGAACTAAGGAGGAAAAAAAAAAAAAAACCCAGAGAAACCTTTCAGTCATTTTAGAAATGAAATGCACCAAAAATGGCTACAGGCATTTTAACTAAGGAAGAAATCCTCTTCAGGTGTCAAACTCCATGTTTATTTCTCCTGGCTTCCATTTTCCAAACTGAAGATGGGAAAAGCTATTTTCATCTCAGTTTTCTTTGGTAGGCTCACTGAATTACTTTTTCTTTGCTAATCTGAAGAAATAGCTTATTTGTTTTTAAATAAACATACATTTATTGCACATCTGTCTTCTCAGAATGAATCAAGTCTTGCGGTGTGTTTGGAAGAAAGGAGGGTGCATTTTAATAATGTTTAAGGACAGAATTCTCAAGATCTTGAAAAATATTCATGTTAGAAAGCAGCAGCTTTTATTTCTATGAAAAACCAAAGTCATGAAGATCATACTCTCCCTCTTTTTCCTAACAAATACTTGGATCTCTTAAGGTGACTTTATAATACAAGGAGTCTAAACTTCCATCTTCAAATACTTTGTCATCAAAACTTTTTATCAACTCTGTAGCATAGTAAACTGGGTCTTTGAGTTGTGATTTCTCTTGTACCAGTGAGGTGTAATTTCCCTTATGTCCTTTATTCGGACACTTCTTCGCTTAGCCACTGTAGTGCAGCAACAGGCCTTCCTGTGTTTCACGAGGGTTCTGCCACATGTTCCCTTCTGCTCTGTCATCATTTACCACCAAGCAGAACAGCTCACAACTTGAGATCTAGCTGCCATTCCATCAGTGAGATTTCATTTTTACTCACTAGTTTGAAAAAACAGAAAACAAAAAACCACCAACAAAAACCACACCCTAGCAGAGTTCTACTGCTCTTCAAATTTGCTACAAATGAGCCAATAGGGTCCCTGAGGGGCATTGGGCAGACTAACACTACAACCACCTAACTCTTGCTTCCTTAACAAAGCAACCTATAAACTTAACATACTGTAGACTAGACAGTGTCTTTGTACGCCTTCAATCCTACCATTCACCAAGTCCCTAGAATCTGTCTCTCTACTGCTAAAAAGCACACAGGAAAGCCAGTCCTTCTGGCCCCACAAACTCCCTGTTATGTTACCCAAGATAAATCTGTTTCAATCCTTCAGCTGTGCCAGCAGCGCCCAGTAGCTGGAGCCTAGACAGCGGAACCAGAGAGGCCCTGCCATTCCTGTCTGCCCACGTTGGGAGCATCTTGGCCCCACCAGTACCTCCCCGAAGCCTGCCCCATGGTAAGGAAATGCCCAGCAGGCCTGCTGCATAATGTCTCTAGTCACGCACAGATAAATCTAGACCACCTGAAAGCTGATCTTAGCTCTTTTTTTTTTTTTTTCCATATTAAAAAAGAGAAACAAAAACCCAAAGTCTTTCCTGGTATGCTAGGTTAGCACTGAACAAAGTTTTCTTTTTTTTTTTTTTCCAAAAAATCTTCAAATTTTTTACAGTTCTTATAGTAATATGAAGTGTGTATTTTGGGACTAGAATTAAGTGTGCCAGTGTTGAAGCTTGGCTTCTTGCCAATGACCATCTTCAGCAGTAATTTAAACCTACAAAGCTATTAAATGAAACTTCCAATGTTCCTTATTTATGAGCCTGTTGCCTTGCCATGAGATCCTTGATAAAAGGGGTGGGTGGACATCTATCACTACATTTCTCATTAGCATTTTGTGATGTAACACACACACTCCACAATATCTATCAGAAAGGAAGCCCTAGGCTGGAGTGGAGTTACCAGCCTTTGGAGCTGTAACTGGCATTACAGAGCCTACAACCCCAGCTCTTTCACTGCAGTAAGGCAGCACAAGTCTGCATTTCTGATGCTTGTCTCATTCCAGGACACTACTCACTGCACTTTGATGCCTTCCATCACCAGCTCAGTGATGCTCCTCCGGCACTGCCTGCACGAACGTTGCGAAAGGTAAAAAGGAAGTGGCAGGAGAGCGGAGAGGGATGTACAAGTAAAATAATAGGCTCCTGAAGGAACTCCGCCTCTTCCACTACCAGCAAGCAGCTTTTGAATACAGAAACACACTATTTTTAACATGCTAGTAACCTACACATGAGAAAATCCACTGCAAGCTCATAATCTATTCCAGAGTTGAATTCCGTAGAAATAACTTCCATGTGTTGTAGGCCCTTCCACTTCCCTTCTTTGCATCATAGTCATGGAATGACCTGGGTTGGAAGGGACCTTAAAGCTCATTTAGTTCCAACCCCCTGCCATGGTTCCAACCCTCCACTAGCCCAGGTTGCCCAAAGCCCCATCCAACCTGGTCTTAAACACTTCCAGGGATGGGGCACCCACAGTTGCGCTGGGCAACCTGTGCCAGTGCCTCACCACCCTCACAGGGAAGAATTTCTTCCCAATATCTAACCTAAATCTGCCCTCTTAAAAGTTTAAAGCCATTACCCCTTTTCCTGTCACTACATGCCCTCATAAACAATCCCTCTCCAGCTCTCACATCATATCCTGTGATTTCAGGCACGCTGATTATCACCTCAACTACAGTTTCTTTAACAGCTCTGGTGTTTTTAAATGCACTTGTCTGCCCACAAGAGGTACTTCCATACAAGTCAGGGGAGTGCACACATAAACCAATAATCATTAACATTTTGAACACAAATGGGACTGCAACCACTGTTAACGTCACTGTCAAAAGCTGAAACCTGGAACACCACACAAGATGCAGTGTTTCCTCCTTTGACAATTTTAACCTGGTTTTTGGTTTGTTTTTTTTCCTCCTAACAGTCCCCTCTTCATCCTATCCCTGCATCACCCACCAGTCCACAGTCTGGTCTAGATGGAAGTAACTCCACTTTATCAGGCAGTGCCAGCAGTGGTGTCTCTTCCTTGAGCGAGAGTAATTTTGGACATTCTTCTGAACCACCTCCTCGCACAGATACCATGGATTCTGTCCCCAGCCAGGCCTGGAACACCGATGAAGATCTAGAGACACCCTACCTCCCTGTCAGGTACAGTCTCTCTGAGCCTGATGTCCTAGAGTCGCTCAAATCCCAGCCATGCCGAAGCCACTCTGCTCCATCTGGAGTCATTCCTCAGGACACCATGGACCCTCCTGCTCTACCCCCCAAACCTTACCACTCCCGGCTGCCAAACATGGAGAACGAGGAGGGGATGATAATTGAAGATGACGACAAACACCGCCCATTGCATCGTAAAGTGTCCCAACCAGTGAGTGGGGGAAAGGAAGAGCAGGCCAGGGTAGCATGGGAACATGGCATCAGTGAGCAGTAGGGACAACTCCTGGTAAGCAGCTTGCATCATCATTCCAGGTCTGACTACAAAGGAGAGAGATAAGGACTCGGAGAACAGCAAACCAATTTTCTACTGCCGCAAGTTTATGTCTGGAGCCCAAAAAAGCAACTGGGCCAGCATGGGTGGTTGCTGCTTTCCTTTTTAATTTCTTTTTACACCTTTCTGTTACATTTTTTAACTTTCTGTGCAGTGGACAGTTTATTCCTTCTGCAGTTTCTTAACCACATCATATGGCACACAGGCCATAGAGGCTCGCAGAAGCTGAAAAATAGTTTTAAGTGGAGGGGGAAAAAGGGGGGAATGGCAAGTTGATTTTGAAACTGCTTTCCTCCCAGTTCTGAGACGCACATTGAGTAGAAGCAGTTGCACTAGGGACGTATTTCTTTGCTGTATAGAAGTGAAAGCTCATTGCTGAAATCAGGGATTCTATGAACTGTCAGGCTGGAAGGTGCGTGAGCTGCAGGTAGTGGAAAGATGGCAATTCTAAGAAGAAATTGGCTCTTTTGAGAGCAGGATTGTACATATCTGTGCAGTGATCTCCCTGCATTGGTTCATAGGTGCTGAGGCAATCTAACCAGTGCATCAGCACTGGTTTCCAAGATACCATTTCCAACAAACTCTGCCTCCTTTGATTTTTTTATGTACTGTTTGATTTCTTAAATTTTGCTTTCACTGGCTAAACCAACCTGCTTTCTCATTGGAATCATATGCTATTCATCTGTGCTGCAGGATGACAGGAGGTTAGTAGCCATTGGAGCTGCAACCTAATTGTAGGCCTTTCCCATGCCCAACTTTGGGCAGGCTGTTGACACCAGCATTTCTATTTCAGTTTTTTTTTTTAAAAAAAAAAAGGAAAAACCACAACTAAATTGAGTTTTTCATGCCCCAGCTGGTTGATGACCCAGCCAGTAAAGAAAAGGTGGCTTAAATGCATCACCATATCCCACAATCCTTGCCTCAGGGCTGACCATCACAATTCTCACCAACCTCCATCACCCAGGAGCTGAGATTCATTCCCTGTTAGCATAACATCCTCTCCTTCCAAAAAACTCACTGCAGCTGGTGTGCAGAAGAATCTCCATCTCTCACAGTAGACAGAAAATACTAAGATTCAAGAAATGCCCAATATATAGTGTACACCCTAGAGTCAGGGATCTTAAAGGCAACCTGTAAAGAAGAAATGTTTGTTTCCTCTTTTGCTTCTTTAGAATGTATAAAGAAGCACTAAGAGCTTCTTCTCCCTTCTGGAAGGTTGATTTATTTTCTCCTCAGGCAGCAATACAGCCTTTCCCACCCCTCCGCCTTTTTTTTTTTTTTTTAATTTTTACCCGCCCCCAAAAGGGGCGGGAAATTTTTAAAAAAAAAAAACAAAAAAAACCACACACACCCAAAAAAACCCCAAGAAACAGAACCATGCAGAGGTGAAGACAGTACAAGTGTAAGAACATAAAACAAGCCTTTTAATCAGTATTTGCTTAGTTCAGTACATGACAAACCAGGAAAAAATTCTGTGAGTTATAAAGCCAAGAGCTGTTCTTTGAAAAGAACACTAAGAAATCTTTTATTCCTATTTTCAATATTTTTCAAGAAACTTTCAATCAAGAGAGTACCAAATATTTAATGTTTTTTAGATAAACAAGCAATGGTCCTTCCACCTACTATGCCCACACACATTTTAGCCTTCCTTATAACCCTTTCCACCTGCAGATTACAAAGCACACTCCAGAGGATGGTAACAGATCACCCTCTTTCTTACCACTGAAAAAGCTGAAGCACACTCAACTAAGAGACTTACCTCCACCATGTAAATTGTCAGAAACGGGACTAGCACTCAACTTTCACATTCAATTCTTGCCCTAACTACTCAGTTTCTCATGCTATGAGCAGCATAAAGAAGCAAAAAAGGATATTATAAATCTTTTACAGGTCACCTTTAGCACTACCTCTAAATACAGTCACTGGGCAGAGTACATCACTTCTGAGCTCTCCTAAAGATGGTCTGTCTGTACAAAGTCTGGACTCAGCAGTTGTATGAAGGGGATTTTAAGGGGATTTGTTTATTTTCCTTCTCAAGCTCTAGCCCATGCAAAACTAGTAACTTATGGATTTGTTTCTTAAATGGCCTATTTGGCTGGAACAAAGTCTCTCTTGCTTCCTCTATTTTGTTACTAACACAGGCTGCTTGTAGTCATCATATTCTTCACAATTAAGACAATGATAATAAAACCTGGCCTGTAGTGGACATTTCATCTCTAGCAGAACAGAGAGTTTTCCAATGCTAGGACAGTCCTAAATGTTAATGAACCAAGATGGATCTCTGGTACAGACCACATGTATGAAAATTCATGTTTTCACTAAAGGTAAGTCAAGGTAATTCCTTAGAAATGAGTGTAGTATTTTCACATACAGTATTCTCCAGTCTGAGACTCTTCAAGTGAAGTTTTTACAAGAACGCTGTATTCAATTCCATCTCCCCTGCCCCCTTTTTTATTTTGGCAGGATGATTAAAAGTAGTACATGCAGTGACTTACTGAGCTTCCTTATTGGAAAAAACAAACAAACAAAAAAAAAACCAAAAACAACCAGCAGGTCTTGCAAATAAAACTTTGCAAAACCTTAATGCAACTAGCATGGGACCAAGTCCCAGTCAGCTGGAAAACCTGCCCACTGGAGCTCTAATCAGTCTCTCAAAACATATCATCCTGCTCCGATTAGAGATGTTGTACAACAGCAGTGAGTCCATTTAGGGAGTCTCGCGTTACTATGTATTTGTAAGGGTTTTAAGATCAATCAGATGATATATACAAATACCCAGTTTATGGCAGGTCCACACAGAGAAGGACAGAATAAATTGCTGAATTTACCAAATTTAAGCCTCTCTGGAGTTAAATTTCTGTTACTGTTCTGATACCTACCAAGTAGTCTGCCTCCCTTTTCAGTGCTTGCCTTAAAGGGGGCAGAAGATAGAAAGACTATTATTAAGATTAAGATTTTGTGAATGTTGGAACTAATACTTCTTGGAACTAATACTTCTCTGTAGGGTGGGGTGTCTTATAGTATAGTACAACTCCAGCATCAAGCTCAGTCCTGGAGTAGGTGGAAGCAACAGCAGTTGTTGCACTTGCCCAGCAGGATTTGAAGAGTCCTTGTATAAATCACAGCAACAGGATGTTTTGAACAGGACCTTGTCATTCTATACTTAACTCTAATTCAAACTTAATATGTACTTGCCTTATTCGGTTTTTTTTGCATAACAAAATAGCATGTGCATTCCTGAGAAAATTGGTGGAAGTCTGCTACAAATCTCTTCATTGTCAGTGTACTTGCTGGTCCCATCTGAAACAAAATTGAGAAGGAACTACAGTAGTAGAAGAAAAGCAATTAAAACAATTTCTCTGAATCCTACAAGGGTTTTTTTTCAGTGGTTGGGTTGGTTTTATTACTGTGTACAAGACTAAGATTATTTTCCTCTGCTTTTTAGCTTACCTACCCTTTTTTAGGCAAGGGATATTACATATCCCTTCTGTGGGAGAATGAGCCAAAACTGGGGAGGCTGGAGAGAGCAAGAGCCTTTGGGAAACAAATTATGTGATATTTAAAATTTCCTCTGATCATGCTTCTTTGTAAATACCCCCATTTGAATGCTGTGTATTTGTACAGGAAATTGAGCAAAAAATGTATAGATTGTGATGTCTGACTGGTATTCTGCCCTGTAAATGTGTTTTTAACCTCTGGCATTCTGTGCTTATTTAAAAAAGGCAAAAACCTCTAACCACTTCTCTTTTGTGTATTCATGTTTAAAATAAAATGAAAACAGCTATCTTATCTATAATAGAAATCAAATTTAAAAGGAAAAAAAATAATTTGTACAAGTGTCCTAAAGGTACTTCATTGTATATATTGTGATAGCATGTTTCCAGAACCAACAAATAAGTGGTGTGAATTTTAGATGTAAATATCTGCCGTTTGTTTTGGGTTTCTTTCCCTTACCCATTCACTCGACTGCTGTGATGTGGAATTAAAGATTAATACCTGATATTAAAACTGTACAGCTGTATGTTCATTGCTGTCCTCCAGACAAGGTTATCCTCGGGCTGCTCCTAACATTCACAAGGTATGCGGAAACAGCCATTGCTTCCCACTGTTGTGTGAATGAGGAGAATGAGGGGCAACCAAAAGGACCTTGTGGCTCTGTGGTGAGCTAACAGCTTCTACCTTCTTCCCGTAGCTGACAGTATACTATTTAATATCAACTTCTTAAAGCAAGCATCAGGCATATCCACCAGCCAGTCTAGTCAATCAGGTAGATCTATGTGACATGTGCAACAGCCCAAGACACCTGCTTGTCTATCACAAGCTTTAACACACAGCTTTGAGGCAATACTTTCAGAGATTGACTGAATCAGTGATGAGTTCTCCAATACATACTTCACTGCGTGGATTGCTATTTGATGAGTGATGGCTTATTTTACTTTTTTATTGCAATAGCAATTTCTCGATTTTAATATTTAAGTACCAATCATTTTAACAGAATGGGTGTGAAAGAATAGTAATTAAGACATGTACAAATGCAGGATTTGGGAATTAAAAGCTACAGTGACTGCTACAGGTGAGTAATCTCAAAGATGTGCATTTTCTTCCATTATCACCAATAAACCAGGTCAAGGTGCAGGAGGCAGAAAAAGTAACCCCTTTCTCCCATCCTGTCTTGACAAACACACACACAAAAAATTATGAAACAAGCCCCAAAAGACATTAAGCAGTAAAATATAACAACAGTCTAACTTAAGCTGGCCCTGGACAGAGACTGCCAAGCCACCTTTTTTTTTTATTAAGTACCTACCACATACATAGAAAGGCTGAGAAGAGCAAAACTGTAACAAGGTACTTGAGAGTACAGCTAAAATATCAAAATGTGGCTTAGCTAAAGTAAGTGTTCACCTAAGACCTGAAAAAAAAAAAGTCTATATAAGTCAGAC